CTAATCTTTGGCTGAAAGGTGGACTTCAGGAGTGGCTTCAGTTCTGAGTTAGCAGGGTGTCTGGGGCAATAGTCTCAGGGGCTCCTCTAATCTCTATCAAACCAGTAAGTCTGGTCTTCTTTTGTAAATTTGAATTTTGTTCTACGTTTTTCTCCCACTCTGTCCAGGGCCATCTATTGTGATCCCTGATTTGAAGCAATCAGTGGTGGTAGCTGGCACCATCTAGTTCTTCTGGGCTCAGGCTGGTGGAGGTTGTGGTTCATGTGGTCCGTTAGTCCTTTGGACAAATATTTTCCTTGTGTCTTTGGTTTTTTTTATTCTCCTTTACTCCAGACAAGATGGGCTGATAGATTTATCTTTGATGGCTGCTCACAAGCTTTTAAGACCCCAGATGCTACTCAATGAAGTAAGATGTAGAACATTTTCTGTATGAACTATGTTATGCCAGTTGACCTAGATGTCCCCCGAGACTCTGGTCCACAGCCCTCTGCCCCAGTAACTCAGTCCTTCAAAATGTTTGGGTATATCTAGGAAGCTTCTATGACTTTGCCTTGGTCAAGTTGTGCTGACTTCCCCTATATTGTATGTTGTCTTTCTCTTCATCAAAGGTAACAGTTGTTTACTATCTAGTTGATGATTTCCCCTCTTTTTTTTTTTTAAATAAACACTCCTGGATCGTTACAAAAGTTTTATTAATTTCCAGCATTCCGAAAAAGCTACTTTTGACAGTTCTTGCCACTGTCCTTGTTGCTTTTATAGAGGAGTAGATTTTCAGAGGTTTTACTCTGCTATTCTGGAAATTATATGAAGTATTTAGATTATAAATACAACCTTAAATTGCAGAATGACATTATGAAGTATAGGAATCCCTGGGTGGTAGAAATGGTTAAGCACTTAACTACTACCCGAAAAGATTGGCAGGCTGAACCTAGGGGCACTTCAGAAGACAGGCCTGGCAGTCTACTTTTGGAAGGTTGTCACAGCCTTGAAAACTCTTTGTAGCAATGCTACTCCACACGTATGGGGTCACCATGAGTCGGAATCTGCTCAACAGCAACTGACAACAACAATGTGAAGTATATGCATGACAAGTATATTCCTTCAGTTTTTGACTAAGTATCCTTTGCTTACAATTTTACATTCCTGATAATCAAAAGAATTTTCCACAGACCAGCTTCTGGCTGTCTATATTTCAAACTTGTTTCTTCTCAACAACTTACATACTTCCAGCACTGGGCACTGTAGGACATATTGTTATAAGATCTCTGACTGTATATCTTTGCATTACAACACAGAGTTGGCACAGTGGGCATAGAGAGTATTCCTGGAATCCATTCCTACATCAGAATGACTAAAAATAACTATATATGAAACTAACTGTGATCTGTAAAAATATATCTGAGTAAACCCCAACAAAAATGAATCCTCAACTCCGTTTGTCCTTAGCCAGTTCCCCAAAATATCCATTGGCCACTCCAACTCCACCTAACAGTAAAAGAAATATGCTAGAGGGGTTATCAGAGTGGAAAGGGATAGCCAACTCAACCTATTGTGGTTAAAATATCTTACTTTTGTAAATTTTACAAAACCAAATGACCATTTGGACACATTGCTAGGACCCCAGCCTTAAAATGGGCCTGTTCGAGTTAGAGGCCCCAAGCTTTAAGCTTAGTTAACCTCACTGTACATGTTTCTCTCTTTCTTTCTTTCCACCTGGTCTCTCATCTGACTTCTCTCTAGGTTTCTAATGTATTTTTTTCTCTCTACAGACTGCCTTTCTCTGCTTATCTATGCACATGGTACAAAGATGGCTACCTGAGCCACATGCTTCGAGCAGAAATGCCACACATCAGCTCATCAACATCCATGTGTTCAGTCTCCAGAGAGATTCTGATGATCTTTACCTCAGAGTTATCAATTGACTTTCTTGGTACAGGAACCGTGGTGGTGCAATGATTAAGAGTTTTGCTGCTAACCAGAAGGTTGGCAGTTCAAATCCCCCAACTGCTCCTTGGAAACACTATGGGGCAGTTCTAGTCTGTCCTGTAGGGTCACTATGAGTCAGAATTGACTCGACAGCAAGGGGATTTTTTGTTTTTGTTTTGGTACAGGTGTTCAGCCTTGATCCAATAAGCTGAGATTAGTAGAGGTGAGGTTCCATAGAACAAGTACAGTTTTAGGGGTTCATCCTAGTGGATAGAAGAATAATAATTCATGGAATAGGGGGATGGGCTAAGTTGATATCTCAAGGGGCAGTGTATTAATTTCATAGGGATATCATAAAATGACAAATTTATTTTCTCACAGTTCTGGAGAATAGAAGTTCGAATACAGGATATCAGCATTGTCATGCTTTCTGTCTTAGCTTCAGGTGCTGGCCAGCAATCCTTGGTGTGCCAGTCTCTCTCCCAGCTTCTGGTAGCCCCAGGCATTCCTTGACTTGCGGCTGCAGCATTAACTCCATCTCACCTCCATTTTCACATGGCCATCTTCCCTCTGTGTCTCTTACTCTTTTATAAGAACATCTCTCATATTGGATTAGGATCCACCATACTCTGCTATGATCTCGTGGTAACATCTTTAAAGACTCTATTTCAATCCATACAGGCAGTCTACTACAGCAAAGTTGAAAAGGTTTCTTACTGCAGGTCTTCTATAGGCATTTAATATGCAAATGTATTTTGGAATTTTTTCCAAGCAGGACATATTTTACAATCATTTCCCAAAGTTGTGTTTCCGAGGAAGCTATTTTGAGGCAGGAGGCATGGTTCATAATACTAGTATTCTGTGGAACACATTTTAAGACATGTTGGATTAAATAAAAATAGTTAATAAAATAATAGTTAATATTATTAACTCAGTAGAGTAATACTGAGGGCTTGTCTTTGCTGGCACCATTCTAAGTATTTTTGTAATCCTTATACCAATTCTATGTGGTAGGTTCTGTTACCCCCTTTTTACAGATAAGAGAATTGAGGCATAAGAAAAGTTAAGCAAATTGCCCAAAGTCACACAACTAGAAAGTAGGGGTGCTTGACTTTACATCCAGGCAGTTAGACTCCTGAGCCTCATGCTTGACCTCTGCATTATATGATCTCAGTGGTTTCTTTGAACTCTGAATACCATGAATCTTCCATGACCTTTGGTGTTCTATATTCTGCAACATGTGAAAGGACTGTTCCAATATCAAGTACTAAGGATGCTGTCCCTTGTTTCTTTTACCTTTTTACAGAAGTAGCACTCAATTTCATCACCTGTATTCGTGCCTTTGAATCATGAACTCATAGTGTCTCTCAAGACTTCAGAGTTAGAAAAAGACAGATTTCCATTTCCTTTCAATCGAAAAAATTTCAAAAATGCTTTTACTCTTCATTGTCTGAGGCCATTTAATCAAGCGAACAAAACTTTCCTTATTTATAATTTCATTAGGGATAAAAAAAAATTTTTAAATACCCAAACCCATTGCTGTTAAGTCGATTTTTACTTCCTCTTGCCACAGTCCACTCCTAAATCCTCAAATTATTGACTAATCAAAATAGAAGCACATCTGAGAACCTCTAGATTAAAAGCAAAAAAGACAGTGCACAAAAGAGGTTTTATTTTTTTGTAACAGATATTACATATAATCTACACTATTAAAATACTATATATATACTACATTATATATTATGTTACACTGTATATTGTTGTTAGGTGCCATTGAGTTGGTTCTGATTCATAGCAACCATATATATATATATATATATATATACACACACACACATATATAAAATGTTTCATAGTGTAGATTATTTTGCATAAAACATGCCTCTATATATTCTTATATAGACCTAGGTAGAAAATTAAGAGCATATGTAGAAAGTTTTCACAGTGTAGAACAATGTACGATTTCAAATAATCCTGTATATTACCATTCACTAGAAAAATAAATGTTTGTAGTTACAAAAATCGTTTTCATGAGTGCTGTGATTGCGGTTCGTGTTCTCGTAGAATACTGGGGAAGCCGAACAGAAGGTTTCTGGAGCTAACACCTGATTTAGTTTCAGATATTGGGTAGGAGTTAAGTCAGCCTAGCAGGCAGGTATCCCACGCCAAGGGGACATAAGGGTAATACGTGTTCTCGCTTTATGAACTTCTGCAAATAAACATTGTGCTCCATGTAACAAATCTTTAACTTTCAGTATGTGATATTTTTTCATTCATTCAGTAAGTATTTATTGAGCGCCTACAATATGTCAGGCTCTGATACAGCAGTGAAGAAAACACAAACCCTGTTCCCATCGAGCTTACACTAATGGGAAAACACTTCAGTGTGTTCTGCCTACCAGTTATCAAATATATCTGTGTGTATGTGTATTTCGACACGTAATCGAAGCCTGGAAAATCGATCCTTTCTTGGCCAGACGAAAGTGTACACGCGACTTAGGGCGAGCTGCGGGGCAAAACTCTCCCCGCAGCGGGCAGGGACAAAAGCGACAGCGGTACCGGTGAGTCGCTCCGAGCGGCGCACGACCGTGACGTAAATGCCCCGCCCCTGTTCCCTTCATAGCGCCGCCTCTTCATTCCCTTAAGCGGAGAGTTTGTAGGCTCTTCCGCCAGGCTCCGGTTCTGCCCGGGAGGCAAGCGAGCTCTCGACGTCGCCTGCCCAGGAGCTCCTGACGGGGCCGCCAGGCCTTTTCTTTCCGCAGTGACCGAGCCACCGCCGTCTGCCCACCTGCCCGCTGCAGTTCGCTCGCCCGCTCGTTGGAGAGCAGGGCGCTGCAGCCGCAGTCCGCCCGCAGTGGTTGGTAAACAGAAGCCCTCGCGTGCCGGGAGCCTGCAACCCCTCGCCCAGCCCGGCGAGCCCCGGGTGTGAACCGAGCTGAGGGAGGATGGCAGCCTCCGGGGTGGAGAAGAGCAGCAAGAAAAAGACCGAGAAGAAACTTGCTGCTCGAGAAGAAGCTAAATTGTTGGCGGGCTTCATGGGTGTCATGAATAACATGCGGAAACAGGTACCGCCTCTGTGGGAGTGACGGACGGAAGTGGGGAGGTGGTCTGGAACTCGAGCCTCTTTCTCCTTGGGCCGAAACCGGCGCCCTGGGATCGCGACCTTCTTCTCCCTCTGTCCTCACCTTTCCCTCCATTTTCGCGCGCAGGCGAAGCTGTTGTTAGTAGAGGGGTCGTGATAAATAGTTCTCGAGTAAAAGTGCTTCCACGTTTGCTGATGATGTGGCTCCAAAGTCAGACTCTTGGGGGACTCAGCCTGGCATTCAGCGTCGGGTATCGGTTGTATAACAGCGCTGCCCTAGTTATCTCTTTGTGAGGCGAGGATCCTTCCACTGACGAGCCGTTTTAAGGTGTCGTAGAAATTTAAGGTGTGAAGAAATTTATTGGCACAGCCCAATCTGAAGACCCCACCGAAGGGAGGCGTGTTGCTGCCCTGAAATCAGCTACTCTTAAAATAGGGATCTCCGCCCCTTTTCTGTGTTACCCGGGTGGGGCTAGTTGAAGATAAATCCTCCTGTACTTGTTATTTGAACTAGCTAAATTCAGAGCAGAAACAGTCATCGATAAATACCATGCTATCTTTTAAGGGCACCGTGCGCCCGTGTTATTGAGAGGAGCTCTTTGTTCTGCCTTTGATGTGTGGTGCATTCATGAAAGTCTTCAGCACATCCGCGGAAGGTGGGTTATGAAAGGAACAGATTTTAACGCCGGAGAAGGTAGGCTAGAGAGGTTTTAGTTTTTGTTTTTTCATTCCATAACATCTAATATACCGATAAGCATAGAAAATCCACTTGGTTGCTTTTTGATTCCATAAGCGTTACTTATAGAAAATACATAGTTAAGGAGATTTACGGGAATTTCTTAGTTTTGTGACTGTGGTCCTGTTTGTTTTCCAATAAGACAAAAGCAGGATGTGTGTATGAGTCACCGCAAAACCTAGTTTGCTTATCTAGTGGTTCTCATAGAAACATGGACAACAGTAGAGGAATTTAAGATTTTTATAAAGATACTAACTTCTGGTTTCTTAAAGCAAACTGACTGCCCGAGCCTTGTCTTTGTTCCTGGCACAGTGGGTGTACAGTGCCTGGTGCATAGCAGGAGTGCAGTAGATAGCGGTAGGAATGCCTTTGAATTGTTCCGGGCCTTTGTGCTGAAGTAGCTGTGAGTGTCTGAATTATTATTTTATGTAATTTACTTTCATGTGTCTATTTTCACATTCGTTCTCTTGCTTCAACCTTTTTGTGTCTGCAACACTGTTACTTCAAATTGCTGGTGCATTTAACTGCTGTCTGCCTGTAAACTGCAGTTCACCAGGACTTAAACTTGTGAAGGACTCTATGGTATTCTCTCTCTCCTCCAAATATATGTGTTTTCATTTATGGGATATAGCATTGTAAAGCATTGCTTCTTTCCTTAAATAGATAGGATGCAGCTGGGCTGCAGCATCAGATGTTTAATTAAGGGGGAGGGGATAGCCTGGGATCTACAGGTTTAGCTCTTCGGATTTAAAAATTGATCCACCTCCATTTCTTAGACTTAGCTTTAGACTGTGTTAACATCTGTTTGTTTCTTGTTAAAATATAAATACAAGTATTACAGTTACTGAAAAATCAGAATTCTCTTACTAAGTAGGAAGGGGAAAATAGGTACTTGGTGAGCAACCAGATCTCTTCTAAGATGGTTAACTGACCTTAAATGTACTGGATTCTCCTTTTGTCAGTGGCTTTGCCTGTGATTCAAGCAGTTCTCCAGTATCACTTCATAAACTTCGTGGAATCCTGCTTCTTTGCAAGCTGTACAGTTTTACTTTGATTTACATTATGTTTATATTGTATTATTCTGTTTAACATCATAGTACAGAAGAGACTCACCGAGAATGACTGACAAGGGCAGTGTTGTTATTGTTGTTAGGTGCTGTCAAGTTACTTCTGACTCATAGCGACCTTCTGTACAACAGAACGAAACACTGCCCGGTCCTGTGCCATCTCCACAATCAGTGCTATGCTTGAGCCCATTGTTGCAGCCACTGTGTCAATCCATCTCATTGAGGGTCTTTCTCTTTTTTCTCTGACCCTCTAATTTACCAAGCATGATGTCCTTCTCCAGGGACCGATCCCTCCTGATAACATGTCCAAAGTACATGAGACACAGTCTCACCATCCTCTCTTCTAAGGAGCATTCTGGCTATACTTCTTCCAAGACAGGCTTGTTTGTTCTTCTCGCAGTCCCTGGTATATTCAGTTTTCTTCATCAACACCATAAAATTCAAATGAATCAATTCTTTGATCTTCCTTATTCATTGTCCAACTTTCCTATGCATATGAGGCGATTGAAAATACCATGGCTTGGGTCAGGTGCATCTTAGTCCTCAAGGTGATGTCTTTGCGTTTTAACACTTTAAAGAGTTCTTTTGCAGCAGATTTGCCCAATGCAATATGTCGTTTGATTTCTTGACTGCTGTTTCTATGGGTGTTGATTGTGGATCCAAGTAAAATGAAATCCTTGACGACTTCAGTGTTTTCTCCATTTATCATGATGTTGCTTCTTGGTCCAGGATTTTTGTTTTCTTTATGTTGAGGTGTATTCCATACTGAAGGCTATAGTCTTTGATAATCATCAGTAAGTCCTCTTTGCTTTCCGTTTGCTTCAAGTCCTCTTTGCTTTCCGTTTATGTTGAGGTATATTCCATACTGAAGGCTGTAGTCTTTGATCTTCATCAGTAAGTGCTTCAAGTCCTCTTTGCTTTCCGAAAGCAAGGTTGTGTCATCTGCATAACGTAGGTTATTAATGAGTCTTCCTCCAGTTCTGATGCTGCATTCTTCATACAGTCCAGCTTCTTGGATTATATGCTGAGCATACAGATTGAATAAGTATGGTGAAAGGATACAACCCTGACGCACACCTTCCCTGATTTAAAACACACAGTATTCATTCTATTCAAATGACTGCCTCTTGGTCTGGGTACAGGTTCTGCCAGAGCACAATTAAGTGTTCTGGAATTCCCATTCTTCACAATGTTTTCCATAATTTTTATAATCTGCACATTATTTTACATTCTGAAAACTTTCTACATACACTCTTAATTTTCTGCCTAGGTCTGTATAGGAATATACAGTGACATGTTTATGTAAAATAATCTACATTATTGAAGCATTATACTTTATATATTATGTATAGTGAATATAATATATAATGTAGTACATATATATAAAGTCGTCAGAATCGACCTGACAGCGACGGGTTTTGGTTTGGTATAATACTTCAGTACTGTAGATTATAATATAATATATATAATGTCTGTTATAAGAGAATAAGACATTCATACATTTTTTTGTGTACTGTTATCTGACTGGAGCACATAACATAAGGGAAAGGGTGGTACGCAAAAAAAGATGAAACAGGAGAAATAGCTAAGGACTTGCTCACACATAGCCTTATAAGTGAAGTTAGAGGGTTTTGCCTTTATTCTAAAACCCTTTAAAGGTCTGTGTAGGAGGATGAGTGAGTAACTAATATCTGTTTTGCTTTTGTAAAAATGACTGACGGCTCTGTGGTGATTGAATTAGGTAGCGCTCAGAGTGGTTGCTGGCGGACCAGACAGGAAGTTGTTTCAGTAGCCTCAGTGAGACGTGATCGTCCCTCGGACCAAGGTGGTCGTTTGGTGGTGGCAACGATATCAGTAAAGAGAAGATGGCATATTCCAGAGATTTTGGAGGTAAAATAAACAGGATTTTGTTATGAGTACCATATGCTGATTGTGATGATTAAATTAGGCAACAAAATTAAATTAGACTAATTTTGATATCAGGTACTATTAATGTAAAACAAAACAGTACCTGGTATCCAGTAAGTTCTCCATAAATGTTAGCTATTTTTGTTGCTGTTGTGATAGTGGTAGTTGCTTAGAGGCTGAGGGATTCAATACAGAGTGTCTCTTATGATCTCTAGGGTTCTGGAATACATACCTAGATGGATGATGAAACCAGTAGGAAAAGGGTCAGTGTTTTGGGAGAAGGATTATAACCTGGGTTTGAAATACATTAAGTTTGCGATGCCCATGAGACATTAAAGTATATATGATGAGTTGATGGGTCAGGAGCTTAGAGGAGAGTTGTGCATTAGAAGTGTACAATTTTGAATTGTCTGCATGTAGAAGATAGCTTTTTCATTGAAGCTATAGAGAGTCAAGAGTCTAGTATAATGACTAGGGAATGAGCCTGTAAAGGACGCAAAAAAAGATTGACTGAGGAATAGAGGAAAATGAGAGTTTTGTGAATCAGGGAAGAAATTGTTTCAGGAGTACGATGGCAAATTTTGAAGCCAGTAAGAGGTCCGCGTTAAGATTAGAACTAAAAATGTTCATAGGATGTAGCAACATGGAGGGGTTTATAGTGAGAGTTGTTTTGATGGTAAGACAGAAGTGAGAGTCAGATCTGTGCGAGTTGAAGTGAGTAGGATGTGAGGAAAGTGAGGCCACTTTTTTGAGAAGTTTGGTCCTAAAAGGGTTAGAGAGTCAAATGAAGGTTGTTTGGTTTCATTTAAATGGAATAGATACAAGTATGTTTAAAAACTAGTGACAAGAATTCGTTTGAGATGGAGAGGTTGAGTATATATGAGACAGAATGGGTAATTGATAGATGATTTTTGAGATAAGATCCAAATTAAAAGTGATTTATCTCAGATAGGAAGGGGACAGTCGTTCTTCCATAAGAAGTGGGAAGGAGAGGATTGTAGGTAGGTTGTGTATTTGGAATGAGGAGAATGCAGGAATTTCTATCTGGAGGCTTCTATTTTCTCTGAATAGTAAGAGATGAGATTATCTGCTATAATAAAGGAGGAGGAAAGTAGTGTGTTTGAAGAGTAGAAGTGGTAGGATGGCTGCCAGTGTTTTCGAAGGTACTTTTGAGGTTGTTATTGTTGTTAGTTCCCATAGAGTCATTTCTGACTCATGGTAACCTTATGTGTGCAGAGTAGAACTGCTGCATAAGGTTTTCAAGGCTGAGATCTTTTGGAAGTCAATTACCAGGCCTAGTCTCCCAAGGAGCTTTTAGGTGAGTTAGAACTGCCATCCTTTTGGCTAGCAGTCAAGTGCTTAACCATTTGCACCACCCAGTTTATAATGAATATTTATTCTTATCCTGGCCTTTACAACTCTATCTGATCTGATCCCAGTCTACTTCTCCAGTCAGATCTCATGCCACTTTTCCCTTTCCCATTTGACTCTAGGTGCTTGTCTTCCTTACAGAGCCTAAAATGTTGTACCAGTGACTGAAACTCTTTCCCTCCTGCTTATGCATGCTTCAGTTTTCACCTTAAGTGCAACTTCTTCAGGGAGTCCTTCCCTGAATGCCCTAGGCTATGCCAAACCCTCTGTATACTATTGCAGCACCTTAATCTGTTCCTTTATGCACTTATCTCTGTATAATTGCAATGATCACTTTTTAGTTTGTATATCTTTATCACTAGGCTCTAAGTTCCATGAGGGCAGAGACAGTGTCTATCTTATTTAGTGCTATATTGCCAGCATCTAGCACATAGGTGCTCAAATATTTGTTAAATAAATAGGTGATATCATAGGAGTCCCTTTGTAGTGCAAGTGGTTAAGCGCTCGAGTGCAAGCCAAAAGGCTGGCAATTCAAACCCACCCAGAGGCGCCTCAGAAGACAGGCCTGGCGATCTGTTTCTGAAAGGTCACACACTTGAAAACCCTATGGGGCAGTTCTACTTTGCACAAATGTGGTCGCCATGAGTTGGAAACAACAATCGTAGGTATGGTTGATATCACCTAGAGGATGAGGGCAGAGTAAGAAGAAAAGCAGACAGAGGATGAAACTCTGTGGAGCATGAACATTATAAAGGGTAGGAAGAAATGTGCATTGGAGATTAAGGAGGGGAAGGAAGAAAAGGAGCTAGGAGTAATGTCATTTAGAACAAAGTGTGAGTGAGTTACAAAGAAGAGTGTATGGAATGTTACGGGAGGCCAAAAAGATAGAGTCCTCTGGATTTGAAAATTGGTGATCTTAGCAAATAAAGTTTTAGTGGAATGGTGGGAAACTAAGCAGATTGTGTGTGTGTGTTTTTTTTTTAATTCCCTTTTTAATATGTTAGGGAAAAG